TACCATATTCATTATAAAGTATAATTGATAAATATGAAAGATTAAAGAGGCTCTCCTTGACTCAGCCCCTTCTTATTCCCCGACGGTTGCTGGCGTCGACAGTTATAAATATGGGGCTGGAATCCATACGTCTGTGCATGTCGGAAGGACTGGTTTAATATTCAAGAAGCGTTGCAAGTAGTACTATTAGGATACCGTCTATAGATACAGTCTCATGGGTACGGGTGCTTTCTTTTGTTGCTGACGGCTGAGCATTCATTGTGTGTGCTTGCCTATAATCATATATTAGATTTATAGAAATAAAATCAGAATTTTTGTATGAAATATATCGGATATTAGTTACTGTTTTATTATTTCTGTTACAATATTAAGTGTAGATTTTATACAGCATTTTTTCAAGTTTGATAGTTTTTATTTAATTGTGAGTGAACAAGACCAATCTGAGTGGGTACCAGCCACTAAGAATTGGTTCTGCAAGTGAAGAGGAAGAAGCGGGCGTACGTACTGAAAATGGGCCAATACCGATGAATGAATAATATGATATTACTTTTGATATTAAGATTTCGTGAACATCGGCTATGAATTAGTCTTCATCCTATTTAGGAATGAGTGAGTGAGTTTTGATTTTTTGTATGATTTTGAAGGGTTTTGTCTCTTTAATTTTCACATTTCAGTACTCCAGTCACTTGACATATTGCTCCCATGTGGGAAATCGAACCGGGATCTTTGGCGTGGCGAGCGGGCGCATTAACCAGTAGGCTACCCTACCGACCGTCCCTTTATCGATTACAAGAGTTCTTGTGTATGATACTCGTGTAAGCTTCTATCTGTACAAAATTATATTTAGTCGATATGACTTATCGATACGAGTCGATGACTGAGTGAGTGAATGTTGTTACATGCCGTCAGCAGTATTCCAGCTATATCATTGGAGTTTGGGTGAACCAGTGATTGACAGCATGAGCGATGTCCAACAAGGGTACGATCACACACAATCAGCCGTACATTCCAATGTTCATTGCAAGGTTCCTACGACAAGCATTGCATACTGGGAGCCTATTCTTCATTGGACTCCCCGCGGGGTGTAATTTGATAACCTCGGAATGAAGAAAATTAACTGTTGTGTATATATAGAATGGTAAAAATATTGGTCTTGTCGTAAGAGGCGACTAACGGGATCGGGTGGTCAGGCTCGCTGACTTGGTTGATGCATAGCACCGTATCCCAATTGCGTGGATTGATGCTCATGATTGCAATCACTGGATTGTCTGGTCCAGACTCGATTACTTACAGACCGCCGTCTCATAGCTGGAATATTGCTGAGTGCGGCGTTAAACAACAAACAAACAAATAAAAAGATTTGGTTTGTACAAAAACCCAGCAGCACAATATTTCAAGATATCTTGTCTTGTCTTAAGGAAGAGAATATAAGGATGTCAACTTCTTTATTATGAGGAACACAACCTTTCGGAGTATTTGCTTACTCCTTCATCAGGCGAATGATGAAGAAGTAAGCATCAACTCCGAAACGTTGTGTTCCTCATAATAAAGAAGTTGACACCCGTATATTCTCTTCCTTATGTGAATTACTTCTAAATGCCTTTCAAAGACCTTGTCTTGTCTTGTTTGTTTGTAATTATTTACAAAATAAACATTTTTTAAAATAACCGTCTTGTTTATATTTATTTAAACAGATAATTCCCCTACACGTTGTTTCAGTAGCCGTTTAAGGCATTTGTATGTTGTAAACATATTTTTTCTCTTTACAAAAATCGTATTGTGAATTCGAATTTTAATTTGATTATTTGAAAAGGCAACACGCCATTCTTCAATAACCGCCTTGGGTACATGTTTTGAAACAGATGCAGGCACAACAGAATGTTTCAGAAGGTGGAGACGTGGTCCAAGCCCCATTCCATTAACCTTTTGTTTAAATATGTTTATGTTCTTTTAACTTCTTTTGAGTAGTGTATTATTTGGCACAAAAGTTAAAAAAAAGAATCATTTACTTCCCGCGCGTAAATAATACAATGTCCAACATGCACCCAATTTTCCTATTTTCGAAAAATTTATAATGAAGAAATATTGTACCTTAATTATAATGAATTGGAAAGTACTGAACTTTGCCCCAAAGAAGAGTTAATCATTGAATCAAGACGCGATTTTCATCAGCGTACACGAGTAAAAGACCTGTTTTGACAATGTTAATCAATTATAAATGAATTAACAAAAGAGCGAAATGAGAAGGGCATGGGTTGCACGTGCTTATCTGATCGATCACGTGTAAGTCACGTGTCGCTCACTCACGCATGTGCGATCAAAGTATCACATCCGGGGCTGAGAGACGAGACGACAAATTTCCCATGAAATTATTTCCTGTTGAAATTATCCCCCACACTGCAGTTATCCCCCTTTGAGTAAAATTATATTAACAACTTGCTCCAATTATATTACACTGGTAATATATTCTTCCAGGTAAATGAGTACAAAAATGTATTAAATCATATATTAAAATAAGTTTAAAATAACAGTACTTTTCTGTTGTGCACAAGAAAAACATTCACCTACATGATCATATTTGTACGAACAGCATTTCGTCACAATACAGTGTATATGGCGTTTTAAATGTTTATTTCTTCGAAGAATACTTATGATTACATAACATATAAATTAATCGTGTGAGTTGTGTTTTGCGCTGAAATTGCACTAGTCAAGACATATTACGTCGGGTCATTTTACCAAGTAAATTATCTAAACAAGTTATACATTCTCCTCTTATCAGTACATGAACGAAGCTACAGTATTTGTTTACTGTATGGAAACCAGTCACATGTATCTCTAAATGCAACCGAAGAATCAGCACATATCCTTTTTCGCAACTTATCTGCCCAACTAACTAGTATTAACTCACATTCAGAGATCACGAATCACTGTTCACGTTCAAATCGCACATTGTATCTTATCTTCCTCAGAGAATTATTTTTATCAAAATTAGTGAAAATCCATGTTTATTAACCTCAAGTGATGGGCAATAGGAAGAATACATCTATGTTTATGTTGTCTGAAAGGAAACAAGAAATAGTTATTCGATGGTTATATATTTTCTACGGGTATCATTGTTGCCTTTCGGACCTTACATTTGAACTGCTTTCAACCGATTAACGTTTTGATAACGTTTTAATTTTTTGGTCCAATTCTATTTTCAAGTGCATACTTTTTGGTGTTGAATATCACCCCACACGCCGTGATATAACTTGAATACTGTTCAAAGCGGCGTTAGACCCAACTGACTCACTCACTCCGTCTTCCTGACTGTCGGTAACGTCTAAATTAGAACAGTGATGTGTCATTCCCGACATTCGTTTATCCGGAAGATGATACTGGAAAGGAACGGATTAACGGGGTGTCACTGTACATGGCAAATGCTGCTTAAACTATAGTTATGTTATCAAGAAGTGTTGCAAAAGTATATTAATGTTGATCCTAGACCGGGTTATCTTCCATGGGACCTCATAGAGATCTCCTTAGGCACATTTCAACGTTGTAACTAATTAGCATATGCGGTATTATAAACAATAGATAATTCATAAATGTCTTGCCTATCCTTAAACCCAGACACTGCGAACGTTCAACGCAGAGCCACGCTATAAATAAGCTTCCTGCATCACTTACGGTTCCAACTGCAGATCGACATGCATGCAATTACGGCTTGAGATTCTCCAGGAAATAAAGACCCCCTAAAAAACTAAAGAAAGCAAATTGAGAACTTTAAATTTCAACTTAATATCCTCGAATGTTTTAATTTTAAAAGTACTACTTCCCCTAGACTAATCCTAACCCTAGTCCGCCATCTTTATTTTCGACTGGATTAAGACGCGCAGACGGGCCAGTTGTCCTTTATTTACTGACCGCTACCTCTACTTTTCAAGGAGACACTTAATCTGCGAACCTTACGATTAATCAAATTATACTCAGGCCTTATTGCCTTCTTCGTGTCAATTGACTGGAATAATTTCCCCATTTAACAGGGCATTTCGGGAGTTGCTGAGTTTCTGACACAGATGGGCATTAATTGGCGGCTTCCTTCCAAGGAGGAGAGGCCATGTTGCCATTGTTTTCGTTATAATAGACTCGAGTGGTCGCAGATTCTCTCGTCCAAAGCCCTTCAGATATTTCAGTTTGTATCATTATTTTTTATGAAGAAAGAAAAGAAAGACTAATTTCCTTCCTTTAGGTTAAAAAGATGATTATTTGATGAAGCTTGTGATGGTTAAAAAGAAGAGCGAATGCTGCAAGGCGGTATAAGGGTTTTGTGAATGGGTTTAAATGAGCAGGGCTCGTGTCGCTTCGTTTGTTTTGTTTATTTTAGTCTGAGTGTTTACACACAAAGAATAATATTACACGAAAAATATAGATCCGTGTTGATTTTTACAAATTTTAGTTTCTGTATTATTGGGTGTTAGCACATATTCTGAACCCAGTAAATGTGTCGATAGTTTCAAGTTTGGACACTTAATTCGTTATTGGCATTGATTTAACGAATGTTTTCAGATATTACCAATTATATATTTCTATTTCTATTTATTTTATATAATATTTATATACACAACATCTGATTTAATAACTGAAATATTGTTAGTTGTTTGTGTAACTGTCTTTGAAAATGCTTCTGTTGAGTTCGTCGTGTTAGTGCGTGAGTATGTGTCAATGTCAATCATCTCAGATGAATATTACCGATGTAACCCGTGAAGATCAGGGTGGGAATTGATCTTCAACAACTCATGCTTGTCGTAAGAGGCGACAAACGGGATCGGGTGGTCAGACTTACTTGATGCATGTCATCGTATCCCAGTTGCGTTGATCGATGCTCACGATGTCAATCATTGGACTGTGTGGTCCAGATTCGATTATTTACAGATATTGCTGAGGGTGGCGTTAAACAGCACACAAACCAACACTATTACCGAGTTTCGAAACTATACCTGATAAGAAAAACTCACCTGAACACGGGCCTCTGAGAGTCCAAGCCTCTGACTGAGTTCTTCTCTCATGAAGGCGTCGGGATAATGGGTCTCGTCAAAGAGACGTTCCAACTCGTTCAATTGTTCTAAGGTGAAGTTTGTTCTGCTGCGTCTCTGTTTGACTTTAGGGGAGCCCTCTTCCTCCTTCTCTTTTCCTTCCTTCAAATCTGTAAACAAAACAATATTTTGATACATAAATAAAAGCTGCAAGACCCTTTCAACACTCACAAGAGAGATCTGCCAAAAGCTGAGTCGATTGTACGATTCCGACTTTATCATGAGCATGTGTTTATGTATGATTATCACATAATGATGATACCAGGTGTTTGCGAAAAGGGGAGCATATCCTGACCCACATGTGGCACCCGTCACAAACACCTGCAAAGGCAAGTCAATTGTTTACTTTGGACGATATATGTTTTGCAGAGGAACTTCAATCCTTGTCAACAATACTCTATGACCTGTTGAGATATTTATTGATGCTTCGTAGACGAAATAATTTCTTGACATTCTCAGATACTACATTTCTTCATGTCGATACGGTATGCAAAGAAAAATATAATTATTTATGCCTTGTTAGTTTGAAGTGTTGTCTGAGTTGTTTCTAAGTGGATCAAATTGTATGTTTTCTATGAATTCCCATCTCGAAATTATAATTAATAATTAACGTTTTAATTTTTAAATATTTTAATAATGGGAAAGTGGTGTCACTTATTCTTCTTTTTGAAATAGTTAGATTGAAATAGAATCGCCAAAAAACATTTCCATAATCATAAGAAACCTCTGCTTAAGGCGGATATCTTACTTTGGCTCAAGGTATGTTGATAGAACTTAATACTTATCTACATACGCTGTACTTCTATCCTGGTATAATGCAAGTATTTTAACCATTATTAATTGGAATCAACAATTGTCTTGATACTAATGGGGGTGGGGGGTGGGGGGTGGGGGCGGGGGTGGCCCAGTCGTTTAAGGCGCCGCCATTCGCTGTGCAGAGTTGCGTCCCTTGGGCACGCCAGAAACCTATGATTGTGGGTTCGAATCCCGGTTCGCCCCAATCATGTTTCTAGGTTTGTCAGCACCATACCCGTGCTCGTGGGTTTCACCGAAGTGGTAAATGTGTGAGACCTGCATCACTTCGGGCTTTCCTCCCACATGAAGCAGACACGCCGTGATATAACTGGAATACTGTTAAAAGCGGCGTTGAACCCAACTCACTCACTCACTTGATACTTATGTATGTATATATTTGTTACATCTTGCGATAAATCCCGTTCCGTAATCCTAAGAAATATTTGCTCAAAGCAGAGTCCGTTGTATGATTCCGCCTATGATGGATATGCAATTATGAGTTACTATCGAATAGTGACACCAGGTGCTCGCGAAAAGTTGAGCGTATTCTGCTCCATCGGTTAAACTGTATCGTCAACGCCAGAGTATAATCAAGTCTCGATTCCACTGGGCGTAAAAGGCAAACTAGCGGTGACAATTACAGTAAACTACGTTTATAACGAACACGCTTATAACGAACTGACGGATATAACGAACTTATTTTTTAGTCCCGGTCATTTCCGTATATATGCTGTATGTATGCTTATAACGAACTACGGTTATTACGAACTCAAATTAGTGGTCCCTTTGAGTTCGTTATAACCGTAGTTTACTGTATATGAATGGATTAGTGAAAATCAGTACTGACACCAGGTGTTCGCGTGAAGTCATGACACCTTTAAAACGTAGAAACTTGATTTGAACCGTTTCACCACATGACACATTCCGGTTCTAATGCTGATGGTTGAATTCCATTTATTCAACCCTAGATGCGCGCTGTCCACATGCCTGACGTCGTATATCAGCTGCACTAGAAACCATCTTCGACAATTTGATGGCAGAACACCCATGAGCAATTGTATTTGCAATAACACTTTTAATATTTCATAAACTAACAATACGAGAAGAGTCTGTTACATTGAACATGACAAGCTACAAATTACACAATGTAACTTAAACCGCTCGTTGCACCGCTGTCACCGTGCGTCTAAAGCTTATGTCATTCATCAAACCTGAAACCAACATTTCACGGTGCATCAAGACGAACATATGGTAATAGAGAAACGAAACGGACCTCTACTTTCTTACCATGTATATTTTAACAGTGCTTCATTTGCAAGTGATTTTATTAAATTATCTTTGTTTTGTTCCCTTATTCATTTTGAATTTTGAGACGTCTTCATAGACTAAGGTCACTGTTTATTGTCTTCTTTAATCAATTGTTATCATCTGAAATAAATTATTAAAAGCGACAAAACCCTTTCCATATTCAATAGAAATTTATGCCAAAAGCAGAGTCGACCGTACGATTCCGAATATATCATGAGCATGTGTTCATGAATCACTATCAAATAGTGATGATGCCAGGTGCTCGCGAAAAAAGGTGAGCGTTACGTGCTCCACAGGTAGCATCCGTCACAAACACTTGAGAGACGTCACAAATCATGTAACCCAAATCCCATTCCCTTGATTTCTGAATAAACTCCTACAACACTGGTGTTGAAAAAAAAGCATGTTTTATATTTACTCGTGAAATGTTATTCCTTCGTTAGTTTCCTATTTAAAATATACGCAAATATAAAACGTCAAAGCCAGACAATAACAAGTCTCGATTATCCACCGAAAGATTCCATTCTTTGGTCGTAAACGTTAAATGTAGCGGTGGAAATTATAGGAATGGATCAGCGAAAAGTCAGTGCTGATACCACGTGTTCGTATTGTTCTGAAACTACATATGTATGTATTAATAATGTAGACGTATACAGATGTGAAGAAGATAAAATAGAAACGGTTCACTTGTGGGACATCAGATTCACTTTTGTGTATAGAACTGCTAAAAAATAAGTACACGTCATGCTCCTGTATTGCTCTTTTTGTCCCAGCCCGGAGTCAATAATTGTGTTTGACAGTCGTCACCTTCGGGTAATCATAAACGCAGTACATTCTTATGAGAAACAGACAACACAACAACAAAAAATAACATTACGAGACAGTATATTGTAATAAAAATTATTTTTTTTAAAATAACACCAAATCAATAAAAATTCGCCACGACAGTTAAGATCGTGGCTTGAAAGTAATATCAATAAAATTGTACGATGATATCAAATAATTTGAAACCTGTCCAAAAATGAAAGTAAAATCCAAATCAAGGTCAGTTATTGCCCCTTTACCCACCACCGCCAAAGCAAGTGAATGCAAATAAAGGTTCAGTTTCGTTTTAAAAAAAAATCGTTTGAAATTCTACCCCAAATTGACACACGTAACGCTAAAATTAGATCGGGATAGCAGTCTGGCTTGCTTTTGTACCACAAAATGTCCGTCTGACCGTCGGATGACACAGCGACGCACGTCAGGCTTAACAGCAAGAGACATGCGCAACGTCTGCGGTGCGCAGCATGACAGGACGCTGTCACAAGGGAGACAATTACCCGTATACAAGTTGAAACCCGCGTGTGAAGAGAATTTTAGCCTAAGTGAAAATCATATTCAATCAGTTGGATACACTCGCCGTTAGTCGGAATGGGCGACAGCTACAATGCTGAAGTGTTATGTAAAATCAATTAAGATGATACATCGCTCGATGAAAGCTGCGTTAGAGCAGCGTACCGCGCAGGGTCCGAGCTAGCTTCGCCATCCGCGAGTCAACCGTAGTTAGTGGATACGAGATCATATGAAATGTATCCACGTCTCTTTCAATTGGCGATAACAGCTTTTGTTTTGGACTTGGGCTTGAAATTTGAGCTTTATGTGTTATTAAATGATAGAGACGAGAAAAAGTGAGAATTTCGTAATTTGATTTCGTTCTCGAAAGAGACGATAGCCGAGTTGGCTGGAATTTCATTATTTCGTTCTATTGGATTTGTAATTTTCGTGATTGCTTTACATAGAACACAGTTGTGTAGAAATAAGAGTTATGCAGTGGCGGGCAAATCAAGGGAAATACGATTAAAACACCCACCAATATTTCAGCTTGAGAGATCACCAAGGGATCTTGTCTGAAGATTCGTTTCGTCCCATTAGATATTAAAGAAACCGTCCGTAATTTTACATTTGCTGTTCGAACAGAAAATTCTTTTAAGATGTTTTGTCAACATTGCATAAGTTAATCATACTGAATTGTTTATCAAATTTTAGTAAAACTCTGTCTTTTAATACTTTAAAATTAAATCTGACATCAAAAAGGTTTTTAGTGTTTGTTATGAACATAACAAATCTGCTCTAGAGAGATATTTATAACTATCACATAACAGTACATCGTGAAGCGCCAGAGGTAATTCAATTAGCTGGCTTTATATTCTACTTTCTAAGATTATTGCATTTTCATCCTCTTTATGATATTTTACCTTCGGCACATTACATTATTTACTGAATGCTTTTATATTAGACTAAATTATCTATCGGTAACTTTATAAGCGTTTGTTGTTTTAAGTCGGTTTGAAAAATAACAATGTTCATTTACAAATATAAATCTTGCAAAATACTTTACTTTAAACACGAGTTGACCAGAAACACCCAAACAGGGGTACTTTAGTGCGAATTATGGCGGCCAAATTGAAGTTACATTTGCGGATATCATTAAGAACAGATGATGCTATCTTTTCTACCCTTTTTTCGTAAACTCAGAATCCAGATTAACTAGACGTTACCATGGAAACGAAAACACCCAAAGAAGGTGACATTTCATGAACGCCACATCTGAAAGAGTAAGAGTGAGTGAGTATGGTTTTACGCCGCTCGCTTTTAGCATTATTTCAGCCTTATCTCCACGGGGGCATCAAATAGGGGTACACACATTGTACCCACGTGGGGACTGGGAGCATGGCCTGCGGCGTGACGACCCAACACGTTAACTGCTAGACTACCCCCAAGATCCTTAAAATGCTAAGTTTAAGATGGTGGTGGTGTGTGTGAGAGAGAGGGTGATGGGGGTTGAGGAAGAGGCTAGATTCAAATGGCAGTCCTAGCAATTGTTTAAACGCCACTTTGTCTGTCTGCTTACTCAATTTTAATTGTAATTATGTATAACATTCTATTTTAACTTAAAAACAATTAGGCGATGTCTCATTTTCATGAAACGATACTAGTCAAAAGCCGTGGAACATCGTCCCCTTTT